TACAATTTGTTCTGGCGTGTGTTGTTTTTCATATTGTCCTTGTGTGTGTTAATTTACAATTTTCCCTGGTGTGTGTTGGTTGACATTGTGTCCGTGTGAGTGTGTTATTTTACAATTTGTCCTGATGTGTGTTGCTTTACAATTTGTCCTGAGTTGTCTGTTGGTTTACAATTTGTTTTGGTGTGTGTTGCTTTACTTTTTTTCTGGCGTGTGTTGGTTTACAATTTGTCCGTGTGTTTGTTATTTTACAACTTGCCCTGGTGTGTGTTGCTTTACAATTTGTCCTTGCGTGTGTCAGTTTACAATTTGTCCGCGTGTGTTTGTTTACAATTCGTCCATGTGTTTGTTGATTAATGATTTGTTCTGGTTGGTGTAAGTTTACAGTTTGTCCTGGGGTGTGTGTTTGTTTACAGTTTGCCTTGGCGTGTGTTGGTTAATCATTTGTTCTCGTGGGTGTTGGTTCACAATATGTCCTGGTGTGTCTGGAAAATCAAAGAATCAATCTGGGTTAGGACAGAAGGCGATTCGATAAAAAATAAACGAAGGGGGTCACCAGCTGAGTCATCGTTATGACCCCTTTTAAACATCCACTAAGGGGCGGAATAGGTAAACCTGTTACCCGTCCCCCTGACTGCCTGCAGTATCAGAGTGCAATTCGGCAAAATGTCTCTATGCTTTTGACAGCAGAATTTACTTGATTTAGCCAACTGTAGCTTAGTGAGTTGTTTCCAGCAGTTTAAAGGCGAGATACCGGTCAAACAGACGTTTTCGAGAAAGCTCGTAAAATAAGTTTTCAATACCTGTTTGTGTTCAAAACAATCATAGCCTTTGTTATTCATTCCAAACTGATGAATCTTATTCCAAATACGAAACCTTTTTTTATTCTTAACATGATATATATCTTAATTGTTGTGTTAAACACATATAAGTATCACAATGTTTTGTGAATCAAAATGCATGTAGAAGAAATAACACTTTACATATCAATATAAAAAGCAATTTATTATAAAAGAAGCTTTGTTCAAATTATATTGTTCCTCTTGCCACAGATAAATATATAACTTAAGTTTGCTTGTTAAAGTTTTGCTTTACGGCCTATCGTCAATTAAACTCATTTAAGGCCGAACGGCACTAAAAATATACGTTTGAAAATCGAATACATCAAACGTAAACAAATATTTTGAAAAATTTAAAAAGTGCAAAAACAAAACAACAATAGCACACAAATTGATCATAAAACATTATATCATATTTGTTTGTAAATGGAATATACATAATGATATATAAATGGCAGAGAAACCTCAACAAGCTCCGTTAATCTGATCAAACAATGTTAGACAGTAAATGGTTGGTCACAAGCATCGATCATAAACTGTTAGACAGTAAATGACTGGATCATAAAATGCATGACTGTGAAAATAAAACAATAATTTTATTTAAAAATATGAAGACAGCGTAAAGCTGTTATATTTTCAACACAAATTTAACATATGAAATGAAACGGATTTCTGTTTGTTGATATCGGTAAAACACTCCCATTACAAACAAATAATATTGTGATAAATCTTGTCGGTGGTATTATTACAGAATATAGCATCTTCATGCATGTAAAAGTAAAGGGATAATAAAACTTTGTTATAAAAAACTACACATATCTATAGTAAAGCTTCAGTTTATTGGGGAAGGGGAGCCAACTCAAGAAAACAGACACCGTTTCACATGTATATGTCAACCTAATAAGAAGCAGTGACTGCCTGACTTGAAATATAACAAGAATTTCCAATTTAAATTGCTCATCTATAAAGACAATTGCTTGCTTGATGAAATTTTGACAATATTTATATGACGTTAGTATTAACCTAGAGAACTGGAGCAGGGGCAATGGGTAGAGGTAAGCAAATATATGTAAAAGGTGTACTCTTTGGTTCCTACATTTCAAAACGTTTACTTTGACTTTCTAATTTGTAAAATGTTTATTGTGACTGTCTTTCTCCATTGTAAAATGTTTATTGTGACTGTCTTTCTCCATTGTAAAATGTTTATTGTGACTGTCTTTCTCCATTGTAAAATGTTTATTGTGACTGTCTTTCTCCATTATAAAATGTGTATTGTGACTGTCTTTCTCCATTGTAAAATGTGTATTGTGACTGTCTTCCTCCATTGTAAAATGTCTATTGTGACTGTCTTTCTCCATTGTAAAATGTTTATTGTGACTGTATTTCTCCATTGTAAAATGAGTATTGTGACTGTCTTTATCCATTGTAAAATGTTTACTGTGACTTTCTACACTGTAAAATGTTTACTGTGACTTTCTACACTGTAAAATGTTTACTGTGGCTTCCTACATTGTAAAAGGTTTACTGTGACTTCCTATATTGTAAAATGTTTACTGTGACTTTCTACACTGTAAAATGTTTACTGTGAATTCCTACATTGTAAAATGGTTACTGGGACTTTCTACACTGGAAAATGTTTACTGTGACTTTCTACACTGTAAAATGTTTACTGTGAATTCCTACATTGTAAAATGATTACTCTGACTTTTTACATTGTAAAATGTTTAATGTGACTTCCTACATTGGAAAATGTTTACTGTGACTTTCTACACTGTAAAATGTTTACTGTGGCTTCCTACATTGTAAAAGGTTTACTGTGACTTCCTACATTGTAAAAGGTTTACTGTGACTTCCTTCATTGTAAAATGTTTACTGTGACTTTCTACACTGTAAAATGTTTACTGTGACTTCCTACATTGGAAAATGTTTACTGTGACTTTCTACACTGTAAAATGTTTACTGTGCCTTCCTACATTGTAAAAGGTTTACTGTGACTTCCTATATTGTAAAATGTTTACTGTGACTTTCTACACTGTAAAATGTTTACTGTGACTTCCTACATTGTAAAATGTTTACTGTGACTTTCTACACTGTAAAATGTTTACTGTGACTTCCTACATTGTAAAATGTTTACTCTGACTTTTTACATTGTAAAATGTTTACCTTGAATTTCTGACTTGTGAACGTTTTACGGTTACTTTCTAATTTTTAAACATTTTACTTTGACTTTCTCATTTGTAAAATGTTAACCCTGATGTGTATAAGGTTTACATGACCGTCAATATAGTTTTGCCAAAACCTGCAAGTTACAACTTGTCGCTTATCAACAAAATGTCATACATGTACATCAAACAGTAAACGATTACAACTTAACACATCTTTTTTTAATTCAGTATATCCAGTTATTCACTTGCTCCGATTAAAATAAACCCTTAACTTAGATATGTACGCATAACGAACTATGAAATTGTGTACAGGATATTATAAATAATCAGTGAAATTAGTATGATGATTGTACTTAAATTAATTGTTAACGATCTACAAAAGAGCACGAGCATTTATCCAGATTCGGGATGTTGTCGTTCTTTCTCTAAGTAGATTTAACGTTTGCAGTTTACTATAAATGAACATAAAAGCAAAAAATCTTGAAATGAATTATCTACTTAAAAGCATCACACCACGATAAAATCGATTATACACATATATAATAATAAAATTAACAATATTATTAAAATTATTTATCACATGAATACCGTGTTATGCAGTTTCATAAAGCCAACAGATGAATTATGTTTATGTAACACTCAGGCAATGATGTCACAATCGAATAGGAACAATCAATGTGACGTCACGTCATCGTTTCAGAGGCGGCAAAGCGCAAAATATTCGTTTCAGATCACAATTATACAGTATTATATAATAAAAAAGAATCTTTCATTCGTTTCCCTTCATATAAGATTTATGATACCCGTTTTGATTTTTCATATTTGCTCTCCAGCGCGCATTCATGACATTTTTTAACTCGTATCATGAAAACGATTGACAGATCCACTATATATACCATCTTTTATCAACATATTTCCATTTTGTATCCTTTGACTAAGTGCTGATCCTCTAACTTCACAGAATAAGGTAACATTAATTAGTTACGTGGTTGTCTGGTGACGTTGTTTTACTCAACATACACAATTTAAATTACAATTGCACAACTAGATGGGAACTGGCAACCTCTAATTTTAAGAGGCCATCACACAACCTGTCTTGTTTGAACAATAATATCTGCGGTTTAGTAAGAGCTGGATAACACTTTACCATCAAGGAGTGTTAACTTTGTGCCAAAGGTCCACCTTAATTTGGGTCTCTGACAAGGGTTACCTTTCACGTTATACAACTTTACATATGTATATAAAGTGTACAATTTTTTACAAAAGCATACGCATATATATATTGAATGTGTCACTAAAGTTAGTAACCAAACAGATTGCCTAATTTAAACTTTGTGAGGCAACCTTCTGAGAAAACATTCTAATATGAATTGGTTGTATCAACTACATTTATATGTAAATATGATCTGATAGATTTATGTTTTTATTTTATATTTATTATCACGAACACGTACACTCTTATGCAACCAAATCACGCATTGTTTGAACACGTAAACGACATAACACTGTCGATAAAACCGGGGATACCGCACAGGCCACAAGACGATCCTAAAATTTTCGTTGTCTTTGTTGAAATAAAAAAAAACACTTTTTGTTCCATGTGGCTCACAACTAGTTACCATAACAAATATGAAAGGGACAGACATGTTAGTCCGAAACATTCCACATTTGTTGTAGCGTTACACAAGTTTTGCAAACTCTTCAATAATCGAGCGTAATCGACGAATGTGAACTGCACGAGAGATTGTTACCTCAAGTAATTATACCAATAAGGCACTGCTACAGATACCGATCCCTCCTTATATTCAGCGGTGGATCAGGACTTTGCTAACAACATCCTGAAATCGTGCCAGCTTTTGTCATACCTAACAATTGTCTGCAGGTCCATGGCTATGCATTAACAAATACTTATGTTAATACAGGGATAATCCTGGAGGGGGCCATGGGGTTATTGACCCCTCAAAACTGAAATTGACCATTCCATATTCTGATTTTCTTTTAATTTTACATAGAATGGCCCCTCTATATTTTAATATTGACTAAAAATTGCTGAAATGGTCCACTGCTCTCAAATTCAAGGGTTTTCTGCATTGACTGCAAAATGTGTTCCACACGAAAGATGAAGTGACTATGATGTTCATTTGTTAATTCATCATTTCATCACACGGGCAGCAATATATTGTTCGACAGCAGTACTTTTGATAAAGTGTTGAAGAGTAACCATTTCCAGTTAGTGTTTTCAATTACCGAAGAAGTTTTGCTGACCCTCAGGTTTGTTTGTCCAGCGTCTAAAATAAAAAGAAATTATTATTTAGAAATACCTGTTGCTAGATTATTCTTCGTTTCAATCAAACGACAGTTTATAGTGTTTATCGGCTACGTTGTGGAAAAGCTTACCATCTGCTGTTAGAAAGTCAAATACCCTGGCCAAGTTCAAGAGGGACATCAAAACTCACCTCTTCACATCTGCATTTTAGAATCCTTGCAAAGACGTCATGTAAATACCACCCTTTTAGTTGTTCAATTATGTGCACATTGCTTGCTTAAATGTATAAAAGTGATTGTAAGCCTTTGTTTTTTGTTTTCACAATTACAACTATTATGCATATGTTGTAAAGCGCTTTAGAGTAGTTTTCTTACTAATGTCTCCCTAGGTTCCCGTGTTTATATGACCTTAGCTTTTGCGAGGAAATCAACCCCCAAATACAAACAAAGGTCATAAGTAAAGAGGGGGTGGTGCAATAGTTGCCTTTTACGATAACATGTAGTCGGAAGAGAGTTTGTCGGTAACATGAGGCCGATAGGGCTGTATCGCTTACCTGGATAATAAAGCAACACCCATCTCTCATTAGTTCCATTATGTCTGCCCCTATGAATTGGGGTAGTTTTTTTTACATTAACCTCACTTTCCCCTGTTGTGCCCTGCCCCTCTGCCCCCTAAAAGCAACCCTCCATTTATACAAAATAGAGTCTCCTTTACATAAGAATGCCACCCCTGCAGGTGGGGGATCGGAAAAAGAGTATACCTGCTGTTACCCAATGCAGATATCGTAGGGGGCGACTAATGAAAACCCCCTGCAGAATTGGAGATTTGCTTTGTTGTCCTCTTTTTCGGGACACAAAAGCGACCAAAATAAATCTGCTGCACCCATTGTAATGTTTTGGATCTTTATTTTTCTTTCTACTTCTAATGTTGAGCATTCGCCCAGGTCAGGAAGGCAATGGGTTCTGTCCCCAGGCTGGGATATACTAAAGTCCGTAAAAATGGTGTTGTTATTCCCTGCTTAACGGTCAGCATTTAGGGTAATGGCAATAACTGGTTCACCTGTATAATGTGACACGGGCGGAATGCTGTGCTGGGTTCCTTCGGCATGGTATTTCAGTGAAATAGCACTATAAAGTCGGCATCAGATCCGCGCTATTACAAAAAGGCAAGTACACTAACATACTCTGTCTCCGGCATGTATACACACTTGCACGGTTACAAAACACACATAGAGTAACATCTTTAAATAACCTTAGCTATTTATAGGACGTGAATAAAAATAAAACCAAACCAAAACCCAAGAATGCTCTACATACAATTTGGTAAAAATCCCTCAAATAAAATTAAAGGAGAAGGATTTTAATCATAAAATACTACGTTCTTACTACAGGGCCCATTCCCTCTGCCCCCAGGGGGGAGGGGGGGGGGGGCACCTTTCTCCTCTCAAACAGAATCGGGTGACCCTTGCCCAAGGATGGTCTGGACCAAATTTTGTTAAAATCCCTCCAATGAAACATAAGAAGAATAATGTTTAAGAGTTTCCTCATTATGGCTCGCCCCTCTGCACCCTGGAGGGCCCCATATTCCACTTATAAAAAGAATGACTACCCTTTAGCTAAGAATGCACCAGGCTTAAATTGGATAGAATCCCTCTAATGGTTTTAATCTTAAATTTCCCTAGTAAACCCTGCCCCTCTGCACCCAGAGGGGCCACACCCTCTGTTTATACAAACTTAACTCCCTTTTGCCCAAGGATGCTCCAGGCCAAAGTTTGTTTAAACACCTCTAACGGTACAGAAGAAGGATTTTAAAGATTTAAATCTCAAATACCTTTATCTCCAATAAGATTCATCAGCTTGGAAATATGTGACATCAAAGTTTTATTATCTACACAAACAATGTACGTATTAAACAACAAAACGTGTCGCAACGTTTCAAGACCGACTCTCCGTCAAGCTATTAGGACACGTTAAATACGTACATTATTTGTGTAGAATTTTGATATCTGAAATACCCCCTTTGGACCCCGCCCCTCCGAATCCAGAGGTATTGTTTGGTTTGGATTTATATTGTTTAACGTTCTTTTAACAGCTAAGGTCATTTAAGGACGTGACTCCATGTGTGTTGTGTAAGCGTGGGCAGGGTATGGTGGTGTACTTGTCTCTTTGTGATAGCGCGGATCTGATGCCAACTTTTTAGTGATATCTCACGGAAATACCATGCCAAAGGCACCCAGCACAACATTACGCCCCTTACATTATACTGACAACGGGTGAACCAGTTGTTGCCATAACCCTAAAGACTGAACGTTGCCATAACCCCAAATGCTGACCGTTAAGCAGGGAATATCAACTACCACTTTTTAGAACTTGAACAAAATCCGTCCAATGGTACAGAAGAAGAAGGATTTTGAAGATTTAAAACTTCAAATTCCCCTATTGAACTCCGCAATTCTGAACCAAGTGGGACCCACTCCCTGTTTATACAAAATTGACTGCCCTTTGCCCAAGGATGATCGAGGCCAAATTTAGTCAAATTACCAAAAAGTTGTTCAGGACAAGTAGCGTTTTAAAGAAAAAGTTGACGGACGAATGACGGACGCCGCGGTACGACATAAGCTCACCATGGTCATTCAGACCAGATGAGCTAAAAATAAAAATAATGTACTTACAAATCTGTCTTTTAGTAGAGAGGAAAAATTCAAGGTTGAACACTCATTAAAGCTCGTTACACCGTCACTGTTGCATTCTTTGTTAGTCACATTATTTTGGATGCACTGATAGACTTTAGGAATTACTTCATCCTCATCTGTGAAAATAGCGAGAAAACAGTATTTTACGATGCGTAATTGTTTTTTAATTATCTGGTTTCTCTTTTATTCAGTCTATCCAACTTTTGGTATATAACAAATCTCCGAAGTGCAGGGGCTGGTTCATGTAGTGTTTCTCTATCAATCGTGATAAAACTTGGCACGTGTATTCTAACATGAACCATCTACGAGGTGAATGTCCCGTTAAATGTCATCAAATTATCACAGCAATAATTCATATACCATTTACAATGGTACTGATATCATTTAAAGTCAGCTCCTGACATGAACAATTACCGTTATCAACAGAACAAAGTGACTGCCTTGATTCACGTGGCCAAAACGACATTGAAAATAACCTTGACAATCCAGGTAAACTTTGGAAATTTGACCAAACATAATCCATAAGAAAACAGTGAATCAGTTTATAAAACTTAATCGCAGAAAGTTTTAATGCTTACTTTTCTACCATTACTAGTAAGTTGAATGAATCCCTTGCTAAAGTCTCGTCAAATTCAGACAAACTCTCTGACTTCATTAAGGCTAGGATTGATATACTGGGTGCAAGTTTTCCTTCCCATAAGCTAATGAGGGCTTTGTTGAATAATTCCTAAAAGCACTTGAACACAAAACTGTAGGTACAGATGACATGCATGCTAAGTTACTGAAGTTATCACATGCTCATTTTGCCAGACTTCTGACCTATATTTAAATCTCAGTATTAAGTCTGGTAAGTTCCCCAGTGAATGGAAACGTGCTAAAACGGATCTATGTTATACGTTTCAATATCAGCTTTAAGTGTGTTGTCTAAGATTCTTGAAAAACGTGTACATTGTAAGTTTTATCAATATTTATGTACCAATAACCTACTTGTGTCTTCTCAATCTGGATTTAGGAAAGATCATTCATTTGAAGCCTTGAATGATGTTTAGGATAAATTACAAACCGACCTTAATCAAGTAGAGAACTGGTGTTTATAAAATAGAATGTTAATAAATGCAGATAAAACTGTATGCTTATATCTACAAAACCAAAGCACAGTAGAAATGACTATGTGTTAGATCTCTCTTTAAACAACACAGAGCTTGACCAGGTACAGTCTGCTAAACTGCTTGGTGTAAAGGTTGATAAATGTCTCAGTTGGGAAGACTATGTTAACGTATAAAGGCTGCATATGACACTCCATCTGTTGACATGTTTTCTGTTTTAAACTTGTTGCCAATAACTGATTTTATCTACTTAGGAGAGGTACAACGGTGTACAAATGTGTAAACCACCTTGTTCTAGGATATCTATACAATGTTTTTTTATTTATTGTCTGATGTTCATACCAGACGTACAAGATCAAGATAAAACCATCTTTTACAGATACCAAAACACCGTACCAAATTGTATGCAAATAATTTTAATGTAACAGGCAGCCAAATTTGGAACAAACTGCCAAACAAAATAAGGGCATCTTCCATTGTCTATTCTTTTAAAAAACCCTTCTGTTTGCCAATTTGATTTTGTTGTGACTTCGTTAACGAAGTTAAACTACAATTAAAACGAGTTCACTAATAATATAAATTTAGGTATTAATACTTTCTGACCTATTGCGAGTGTTTGTCCACATACACCACTCATCCACATAATCATCATCATTACATAAGCATCATTCACTATAAGCATTGAAACAATCTTAAAACGAGTTCACTAATAATACAAATTTAGGTATTAATACTTTCTAACCTATTGCGAGTGTTTGTCCAACTTTGTGCGCTCTCCCAACTGCCATAGAGTCTAAAAAGAAGTATTACAGTACAGAAATATGGAACAAAAATTACAGTTTTAACAGAAGAGTTGAATAGTTATAACCACTAGATGATATTCTTAACGGTTTCATTACAGTGAGTTTATTACCATTATGCAACATTGTGTAACAAGTATCTTAATTTTAAAAGCAAGTATTTTTCAAAGAAATACATCTATATTCGTCTCTCATATTTCATCCACATAATCATCATCATTACATAAGCATCATTCACTATAAGCATTGAAACAATCTTAAAACGAGTTCACTAATAATACAAATTTAGGTATTAATACTTTCTGTCCTATTGCGAGTGTTTGTCCACATACACCACTCATCCACCTAATCATCATCATTACATAAGCATCATTCACTATAAGCATTGAAACAATCTTAAAACGAGTTCACTAATAATCTAAATTTAGGTATTAATACTTTCTGTCCTATTGCGAGTGTTTGTCCAACTGTGTGCGCTCTCCCAACTGCCATAGAGTCTAAAAAGAAGTATTCCAGTACAGAAATATGGAACAAAAATTACAGTTTTAACAGAAGAGTTGAATAGTTATAACCACTAGATGATATTCTTAACGGTTTCATTACACTGAGTTTATTACCATTATGCAACATTGTGTAACAATTATCTTAATTTTAAAAGCAAGTATTTTTCAAAGAAATACATCTATATTCGTCTCTCATATTTCAAGAAAGTCATTTTGTTTTCAAACCTTTTCCAGGATATGTGACTGACATGAACACACATACACCACTCATCCACATAATCATCATCATTACATAAGCATCATTCATTATAAGCATTTAAACAATCATCATCATTACATCAGCATCATCATCATTACATCATCATCATCATCATCATCCAATCATCACCATCATCATCCAATCATCACCATCCTCAGCATTACATCATCCTATTTATCAATATCGCAATCACCATCACCATTATCATCATTATCCAAACAATCACTATGATCCTTGTCCTAATTATCCCAACGATCATCACCATCATCATCAGCATTAACATCACTGCAACATCCATCATCATCAACATCATACCAAACTTAATCAGTATTACATCATCGTATATGCACACTCACACGTACACACACACAGTCATAAACTGAGATAGGAAAATAGGGAGATAACTCATTGAGCATGGTTTAGTTGACAGCTCTCCAAGTATCTTACTACTTATATTAATTTGAGTATGGTTAGTATTACAGTCTACCTAAGAGTGAACATTTTCTTACCTTCTATGGGTATTTGTCCATTTGTATCCTTGCTCTCATCGACTTGGTGAACTGAATAGACACATAAAGAGTCTGTATAGAAATGTGGAACAAAAACTAGCATTTTTCAGGGTAAGAGTTAAAATAAAATATTACATAATAATCGTGGTATTTAATCCTTAACTTACAAGTGCTTCGTTTTTAACTTTGAATATCTTAAGGTGGATATGCAATGGTCAAAGAAAAATTGCGTATCATATTAGTGGGGTTGTTTTTCGTTACTATATTAAGGTATCTCCTAACACATTATAAGTCATCTAATGATCTTTTATTTCGAGATACAAGTCTTCAAAAGGCTGCAACAAATCAAATTTTATTTCAAATAATTTAATTCTCCTCACTCATCCCCCCCGACAGGATACATATTTTCTAATTATAATGGGGTCGCCTCATGCAATGATACATTAGGGTTTATGTTTTATTTTGATAAACGTCATTTTACCAGCTAAGGTAATTTAAGACGTGCATTCATGTGTGTTGTTTATGCGTGCTTGTGTGTGTGTGTACAGGAGACAGGGTGTGTTGGCGTGCTTGCCTCCTTGTTATATAGCGCTGATCCTTTTTGATAAAAGTATATATCTAAAAAACAACTCGCGCCTGCAGGGACATGAACTGATTGAGAGATCAAAACAAATGGTTAAGAAATGAAATATGTACTAAAGATCGTTTCAAAATACATATCTCACACAACCTTTATAGGTTAGCTCACTTCCGACTCAAAGTTAAAAAAAAAGTTAGTACCGAAATTATGAATGTAATGGTTGATTTCCGTGTTAATCTTATAGACAAAACTTGATTTTCCAATCATAGGTTAGGGGACCATAATGTTTATAATCACAACAAACACAAGTTGAGGAATACAGTGGCATAACTGTAGAAATGTATGGTAAATGTAAATCGACACTTACTATAAGTTTGGGTTATTTCCCACGGTTTTGCTTTTCTGTCCATATAATTTCGTTAACGAAGTTAAACTACAATTAAAACGATTTCACTAATAATATAAATTTAGGTATTAATACTTTCTGACCTATTGCGAGTGTTTGTCCAACTGTGTGCGCTCTCCCAACTGCCATAGAGTCTAAAAAGAAGTATTACAGTACAGAAATATGGAACAAAAATTACAGTTTTAACAGAAGAGTTGAATAGTTATAACCACTAGATGATATTCTTAACGGTTTCATTACAGTGAGTTTATTACCATTATGCAACATTGTGTAACAATTATCTTAATTTTAAAAGCAAGTAGTTTTCAAAGAAATACATCTATATTCGTCTCTCATATTTCAAGAAAGTCATTTTGTTTTCAAACCTTTTCCAGGATATGTGACTGACATGAACACACATACACCACTCATCCACATAATCATCATCATTACATAAGCATCATTCACTATAAGCATTTAAACAATCATCATCATTACATCAGCATCATCATCATTACATCAGCATCATCATTATTACATCATCATCATCATCCGATCATAACCATCCTCAGCATTACATCATCCTATTTATCAATATCGCAATCACCATCACCATTATCATCATTATCCAAACAATCACTATGATCCTTGTCCTAATTATCCCAACGATCATCACCATCATCATCAGCATTAATATCACTGCAACATCCATCATTATCAACATCATACCAAACTTAATCAGTATTACATCATCGTATATGCACACTCACACGTACACACACACAGTCATAAACTGAGATAGGAAAATAGGGAGATAACTCATTGAGCATGGTTTAGTTGACAGCTCTCCAAGTAGTCTTGATACTTACTACTTATATTAATTTGAGTATGGTTAGTATTACAGTCTACCTAAGAGTGAACATTTTCTTACCTTCTATGGGTATTTGTCCATTTGTATCCTTGCTCTCATCGACTTGGTGAACTGAATAGACACATAAAGAGTCTGTATAGAAATGTGGAACAAAAACTAGCATTTTTCAGGGTAAGAGTTAAAATAAAATATTACATAATAATCGTGGTATTTAATCCTTAACTTACAAGTGCTTCGTTTTTAACTTTGAATATCTTAAGGTGGATATGCAATGGTCAAAGAAAAATTGCGTATCATATTAGTGAGGTTGTTTTTCGTTACTATATTAAGATATCTCCTAACACATTATAAGTCATCTAATGATCTTTTATTTCGAGATACAAGTCTTCAAAAGGCTGCAACAAATCAAATTTTATTTCAAATAATTTAATTCTCCTCACTCATCCCCCCCGACAGGATACATATTTTCTAATTATAATGGGGTCGCCTCATGCAATGATACATTAGGGTTTATGTTTTATTTTGATAAACGTCATTTTACCAGCTAAGGTAATTTAAGACGTGCATTCATGTGTGTTGTTTATGCGTGCTTGTGTGTGTGTGTACAGGAGACAGGGTGTGTTGGCGTGCTTGCCTCCTTGTTATATAGCGCTGATCCTTTTTGATAAAAGTATATATCTAAAAAACAGCTCGCGCCTGCAGGGACATGCACTGATTGAGAGATCAAAACAAATGGTTAAGAAATGAAATATGTACTAAAGATCGTTTCAAAATACATATCTCACACAACCTTTATAGGTTAGCTCACTTCCGACTCAAAGTTAAAAAAAAAGTTAGTACCGAAATTATGAATGTAATGGTTGATTTCCGTGTTAATCTTATAGACAAAACTTAATTTTCCAATCATAGGTTAGGGGACCATAATGTATATAATCACAACAAACACAAGTTGAGGAATACAGTGGCATAACTGAAGAAATGTATGGTAAATGTAAATCGACACTTACTATAAGTTTGGGTTATTTCCCACGGTTTTGCTTTTCTGTCCATATCATTTCGACCTTCAACTCTTTCAACGTCATTCTCTGCAAAAATAAATAAAAAATCAGTTCCCAAGATTCGTGGCATTCCATTTTCCCTCGTCTTTTTGCTTAAGTTTTCGTAAACCTCGAACTGCATAACTTCTTATAATTAATGCGCCATTACATTATCTTTATTATAGGCCCGTCGAAGCCGGGTCGTATTATGGTTAACAGCGCGGTGTCTATCCGGGCGTTTAATTTTCCTGATCATCACTCTTCTGCCGTTGTGATTCGACCTATCTCTATATAAAATAGTAATATAGCTCATACGAGTTAGCTTTTCAACTGTCAAAGTTCGGTTTTTCGTTTATTTAGCAGAACTTTGGCCTAACTTCATTTTGATACCAGAAGTAGTCTTGAGCATACCTCCCTACTACTTAACTTCCGTTTCCGGTGTTTGTTTTAGCTACAATTAATGCAAGTTTGTTCTTCCTTACTATCTCACCTTTATTTACCAAATTGGGATGACTATCATGGGAATGCAGAGTGTTTAAACGTTAACTCTGTATTATGCCCCTCTTTATGTAGAGTTATTGCTAATATTAATATATATTTTTCCTTTCTCTAATGAAGTGAAGTCAATACGTTTCCCGTTTCAATACATTTCTAATGTTTAAAAAACATCAAAGCTTCATGTTGTTTTCAAGGTTCAACATATTTCTAACAGGTTTAGTCACCATTTCTGTTCATCATTCGATTATTTTATCAGCAAACACCCTTATTATATAAGAAAAAACTCACCCGTACGTTGGACCAGCTGTTTTATAACTCCAGCACAAAACATACCAAACATGGCAGCAAACAAAATTATTCTGAAAGTAAAGGCAAACAATAAAGATGCAGTTTAGCAAAATATCGGTATCTTGGTCACACTCATTATCACTGTTTCCGCTTCTCGATTTAGTGAGAGACATGTTTAACTTTTGGTTTAAGAACGTTTTGTCTAGCGGAGCACAGTTTGACATTTATTTTTGTGGTGCCTACTTTTGTAAATGATTTCCTCATCGTTGTTGTTGCCTTGTGTGATTTCGTGTCATAATAAACCTCTTGTGAAACGTTAAGAGCTGTGCTATGGAACATATGCAATGCATGTATACGTATCAGTGCTTTTTAAATGATACAAGTTACCAGGAAATGCTATCATAATTAACTATTTATAATGAAACAGTATCCATACCCGCAAATGCCGCAAAATGAATAAAAGAAATCTGCCGACAACGTACTTCCTGTGAATACATAATACAACAAAATAAACATAATAATATACCAAAATCATGAATAAATTAAAAAATAAATAAATATTTTCTGTATTCAGATGTATACGGCGACCAGAAAATATCTTCAAACCAGAACATTACTTACGATGCATCAAAAGATTCACCATAACTTGTTTAAATTATCTTTTGTTATGTATTTTCTAATTGATCTCTGTCTCTACCACATCGTTGTTTTCTTCTTCAGAAGGCTTGCTTTAATATTAATCAGTATATAAATATTCTACCACCGTTACCTCTTCTTTTAATAATCACTCCAATGGTCACAATTTGTGTAGTAGTGGTCTCGGGTATGATATTTTGTTTTGTGTTTGAATGTCGTTGGGGATCTGCAAACAAATAATTATGATAATTACTGTTTGTGTAGTTATCTCGATACCAGAATGTAGATATTGTGAGGACGGAGTCCTGTTGAATGAATCCTGTTTTAAAGGTTCTTTATAGCCTAAACGCACAATTTCTAATCAGGGACACAAACGTTGTAATTCAACACATGGTATATCGAACGGAAAAGGAACATTATTATCGTTAATGTTATAAAAGAGGACAACAAATGAAAAAAGACAACGTCCCTCTTGCAATGAAACATGGAATGGCATTCAGTTTGTTATCTAAACCCCGACAGAACATTTGTTGTCTTTGCATGAGCGAAAAACTTCCTAGCCTAGATTGATACGGTAACTTTAATCTAGCAAAATAGTTGTGTATAAAAGGTTTAAGTTATTGATACCATAAAATACATAAAAACAGTGATATCTGCAAGGCTAAAATATATTTAGGCATATCAATATACCATTAATGTTTTGGTGCCAACATTATTTACATTTGTTTGGGTAGTGCTTTCTAATGTTTTTGAAAATCATCAGTCCAACGACATTTAGATCAATGACTTACATATTACAGTTGTATCGGGTTTTGTTACTGTACAAATTCTGTCCGTAGTGCTGTTGCCATTAAATACAGTCCATTCGGTGCCACTGCAACTGAAACCAGAGGATTTCTTTTGACATCTTTGTTAGTATGACAACTCCACAACATCAAATCGAATGTAAGAGGCTCATTTCGACATGTAAAATAGAAGGCACGCGGATATCTATTTGATTGGTCTCAGGTAATAAAAACCCAGACCAATCGCTAAGGCTAATACCTGTTCTTTACAGTTTAGAGAGGAGCGAGACATGACTTAAAAGCCAGTCACGTTTACTGTTACGCTACCGCGAGATAATTTTGATGTACAATAGGGGATCAAACTAGTCTTCTCGTCTCATCCTCAAGGTGGTAGACACTAAACAGAGCCTTCGATTTTGATAAAACATATTTCAGGGGTGCAGGGAGAGAAATTGAGCGTAACTACTGGCTATCAAAGATGTGTTATCGTTATCCACATCAACAAGATGTCACCATGATATGGTGTAGATATAAAGATAGCCTGTATACAAGAGTTTTCATTTCGAAAGTGGTCACGTGTGTCCACCATAATCTATCCAGGTGAGGAACCTGATGTTGCAATGCTATAACGTAAATAAAAACTTAATTATGGAAAGGTTACGGAATATCTTGTACACAACTTATTAACAACATAGTACAGACGTATTCTATGACGGGTAAAAATACAATACTTACGTAGTCATCGGCGTGCACCACTCGCACCCCTTGTCATATTTGAACGTGCCTTCCGGGCATACCACACACTGAGTCTCTGAAAAACAAATAAAACGCTTGATTTTAGAGTGACTTGAATATTACATGTTAAACAAACCTACCACATGGTGCTTAAAACAATCAAACGTTAAATGGTCAGTGAAAACGGTTAAGTTTAAAAGGGTTTAGCGCCCTATTAAGAGCGGCGGTCAATGAAGGTGGGATGCATGTTGGTGTAGTTGCCTCCTAGCGATAGCGCGGATCTGACGCTGACTTTATCAGGTTATCTCACTGGAATACCCATCCTCAAAATCCTAGGGTAACACTCTCTATCGCTCTCTTCATCCCTGGAATACGTCATAGCAAAATTGAAGGGACATGGCTAGCTAGTTCATTGGTGTCAGGTAAGTCCTTTGAAGATAACAGAGGCGCGACGCCCGACTTCGTGAGTTTTACCGTTACGCGACCGCGATATTCTTTTGATGTACATCAAATGATCAAACTAGCTTTCTCGTTTCGTCCACAATAGCTTCAAATGTAATAAAGGTAACATAATATAGCATACTTATTTTAAATATCCATTTGTAAAACTTCAGCACAGAACTGAAAATAACTTCATTCAAATCCGAGAACGAAAATATTTTGATATTGAAATGATTAAAGTTGTTATTTTTATCAAAATGAAAACTAAATAGAACTTGCCGATTATATGAAGCGATTACATAATTTTACCACGTTCTAGTTGGTTTATACTTGAATTCTTTCTGATACCTGTTTTTGTTATTCACCGAAACTCATGAGTTTAATAGGAAAATATTGAAATATCGTGTATACTTATCTAATCAAAGAAAAAAAGCAGCGATTTTCAAGCAGGAAACCCATGAACGATCTTGGAAATTCTAGCCAATCTGACTCCGTTTTGTTACGCCCTACCTTGAGCGTAATTTCTAGTCATCAATATGGGCTGAGGATTACCACAAAGTTTCATCAAAATCTGATCAATGTTTTCTGAGATTAAGTCGAGAACATGTGGTTGTTTATGTACCACGACGACGGAACTAAATGGTGGCCTTGATTCGAGAATTGCACGTACTAAAAATGATTATCAGAAATGTTCACATACCAGTAGAATCGGGCTGCATCCCTTTGTCACAGTAGATATGTAGGTGGACACATTCTTCTTCTTTGACGTAAACGCCAAGAGGATTTCTTCTGCTGTAACACTGGCTATTGTCACATTTACAAACTTTCTCTACTCGGTCATAATAAACCATTCCTGTAACGAATAGCAAACTCCCCTTTAGGGTTCATCTCATGTAAGATGTAATTGATTTACAGCACAGGTATAATTTCGTAGAACTTCTCCGATATATAAATACGACTCATCTGTAATTAACAGTAAGTTGCTAACTGAAAAAAGGAATGTTCTTTCGAACGACTATACTGGCGACTAGATAATGAAAATATGCTTGAATTTGTTGAATGTCAGTTCTGGAATTATATACTGTACCCTTCTGTTGTGAATTATAATACACTTCAGGTGTTATGAATAGCACACTCGTATTGTTACTTTTATTTATAGTACACTTCTATTGTAACTTGTATTTATAGTTCACTTCTATTGTAACTTGTATTTATAGCACACTTCTATGGTAACTTGTATTTATAGCACACTTCTTTTGTTACCTGTATTTATAGTACACTTCCATTGGTACCTGTATTGATAGCTTGTTTGTTTGTTTGTTTGTTTGATTTTGTTTAACGTCCTATTAACAGCTAAGGTCATTTAAGGACGGCTTCCCCTGTGTGCAAGATGCATGCGTGTAGTGTATGTGTGTGTATTTTGGGAGGCTGCGATATGTTCGTGTTTGTCTTCTTGTAATAGCGCGGAACTGATGCCGACTTTATAGTGCTACCTCACTGAAACATACTGCCGAAGACACCCAGCAGGACGCCCCACCCGGTCACATTATACTGACAACGGGCGAACCAGTCGTCCCACTCCTTATTTGCTGAGCGTTAAGCAGGAGTAGAAACTGCCATTTTTGAAGACTTTGGTATGTCTCGGCCAGGGGACAGAACCCAAAGCCTTCCTCACAGGGGCGAACGCTCAACAAATGGCCAAAAGTGAGGCATTGTCAAGGGAGACATTAGGAAAAAGAAAGTTATTTAGAAAGGAGAGAAGAGATAAGGTCCCAAATTTAGTCGCCTCTTCCGATCATGCAATTGGGGGCAGCAGGTACAATTCTTACGCCCTACCTGCAGGGCAGGTATTGATAGCACACTTCTATTGTTACCTGTATTTATAGTACACTTCTATTGTTACTTGTATTTATAGCACACTTCTATAGAAACTTGTATTTATAGCACACTTCTATTGTTACCTGTATTGATAGCACACTTCTATTGTAACCTGTATTTATGGTACACTTCTATTGTTACTTGTATTTGTAGTACACTTCTATTGTAACTTGTATTTATAGCACACTTCTATAGAAACTTGTATTTATAGCACACTTCTATTGTTACCTGTATTTATGGTACGCTTCTATTGTTACTTGTATTTGTAGTACATTTCTATTGTAACTTGTATTTATAGCACACTTATATTGTTACCTGTATTGATAGCACACTTCTATTGTTACCTGTATTTATGGTACGCTTCTATTGTTACTTGTATTTGTAGTACACTTCTATTGTAACTTGTATTTATAGCACACTTCTATTGTTACCTGTATTGATAGCACACTTCTATTGTTACCTGTATTTATAGTACACTTATATTGTTACTTGCATTTAGAGTACACTTCTATTGTAATTAGTATTTATAGCACACTTCTATAGAAACTTGTATTTATAGTATACTTCTATTGTTACCTGTATTTATAGCACACTTCTATTGTTACCTGTATTTATAGTACACTTTTTTTGTTACCTGTATTTATAGCACACTTCTTTTGTTACCTTTATTTATAGTACACTTCTATTGTTACCTGTATTGATGGCACACTTCTATTGTTACCTGTATTTAAAGCACACTTCTATTGTTACTTGTATTTATAGTACACTTCTATTGTTACCTGTATTCATAGCACACTTCTATTGTTACTTGTATTGATAGTATACGTCTTTCGTAAGGTATACTGTAGCAATTTTAGCCTCAATATATTAATATCAAGAAGATGACGATCCCAAGAATTAATTTTTCCTTACCAGACTGGTTCTCGCATTCGGCAAATGATCGATGTTTATAGGCTCCTATAGGTACAGCCTAAAACAAAAAAGTAATAAGAATTAAGTTATTGATATAACCATGTCAGAAACATCTTCGCTATTTTATAGTTTAATACTCCCTATGAACAATTCATGTCGAGACATTGACACGAAACAGTGTTTTCTAGGCGGTTTTAATCAGTAATTGAGAAATCCTTAATTGAACAGCCGTACGTTTTAGCGGCAGCTGTCGGTAAATTTCAGCTAACAAAACTGTCTTTCCAGCCGAGGAGAGAAGGTAACTTCTTGATTTACTCAACTAGCCTCTGTGAATACAAGTATATGCATCTATTCTGAATCAAAATTATGTTCAATAGCATCTAAAACACCGTAATGATTGAGTACGTTCAGCTATTTGAAATGCTCCCTGTGATACCCTCTCAGTGCGTGCATGCTCTATTTAAATCCAAATGTGAACATAAATATCTTATTAGAAATATATATATTGATACTTATAATTCTTACTCACGATGTATTGTATAAATTCAAGAATGTGTTATGTGTGAACTCAGACTCATAGCTGATACTGTGTTGTCGGTTGACAGCGTAGTGCTGTACGTGTTTACTTTTCACTGAAAGGTGCGGATATTGCGCTTTTTATCACCGGCTTTCCCAAAAGATGAAACTGACCACACTAGACGTTGGCTTCAGGTCATGTCATTATCAACTACGTAAACTTTTGTAAGGAGAAATATATCTTCAGTATCGACTGATTTCCAGGTAGTCAAAAAACTTACTTCATTAAATTGTCCCTTTAAAAAAATTCAATAGTACATTTGTTTACTATTTTCCTTATCAATGAAATATTTAAAAGTTGTGGGAGTGTGGTTGATATCAGTCTTTTCCAGCAGACTTCATTGAAATAGATAACATCGGTTATCCGTTTATTTCGAACCGATCGTCAAACCATGTTTCAACGTCTACTCCTATATATTTCAATTTAATTTGTTCATTATTATGATGACAAAGAATTTTGTCATCATATGAATATTAACAAACGAATACACATTTTCAGAGAGAGTCTATAAATCAGGTCAACATCATTAATCCGGTATCGCACAGATCAGAGAGTAGGAAAGATTCTTCTACTTGTCGGTTCCTAACATCACCACAAGTGCACCTCCACCTGTACGGAGACGAATCATGGCCATAGAAAGTAATAGCGACACTGACTAGATAGTTTGTGAATGAACATCCAATTAATATTTTTGGCGTCAAGGTCAATGTTAAAGCCACGAAGTGGAAAGCAGAAACGGTTTTGATTGTTATTACGTAGAATATTAATTTCTTGTTATTGTCAATAAGCGATTAGATATAACGTTATTGAAACGTATTAATTATCCAAATTAGTAATAAGTTTTATGTTTTTATTTGTCATTTGATGGGTAATTTTGTAATTCCCATGCCTTGTTCCATGAAATGCTTTACAATGGAAAATGTAAAAATTAAAATCATTCTTACATAGTTATCGATTGAACGTCACCAAGGAGAAAGATTGTCTGATTTCAACACAAAATATGTTTCATGAAGATGAAGATGAAGAGTCGGTAAAAAATCAGCAAAACAGGTGAAAAAATCAATGGGCTATACTTGGGGAAAATATAAGATCAGGTTATTTGGAACCATTTAAAAACAAAAACACTGCTGCAATATATAAAGGATGGCTAGGAAACTCAGAGACCGTTCTTCCCTGGATGTTTCGTCCGAGGTACATTGCTGAAAACTCTGAAGCGGATTGTAAAATTCGGAGAGATATAACAATTTTACGTTTCGAATCTGAAATCAAGATATTGAAAATAAAGCCCGCAGATTCCAGGAAAAGTTTTTGGATATCGAAAATGATATTCGACAGAAAACAAGAAATCCAAAGGTTGTTGATTTGTTGATTGATATTTGGAATAACGAGTGTTATATTAAAGAACACAAGTCAGCAGAGATATGGTCAACAACAAAAAAAGTGGTATACAGAGTATGCAGACAATTTCGGTGTAGAAATCTTCGTCACCGAAAGGGAGAAACCTACAAGATCGCAACTACGTTCAAGTACACCATCACTTCTTAAAAAGCAGATACCGGCAACGGTTGAATCCAAACCTACAACCTTTTCAGAAGCTGTCATGTCACCAACTATATTGAGGGGAAGGCAGCGGATGAACACAACAACGGACAGGACTAAATATTCTAGCAAGAAAACACCAATGCCGCCGAGTAGAATGTTAAGATCGCGTGATCGAAAGATGAAAAATAGTGTAACACTTCCTGTTTCTTACAGGGGAACAACCTTTATCGAACAGAAGTCTTTTTTAGACCGAGGCGCATCAAAAAACGAAGGCAGAGTATCTCAAAGAAAAAACAAACAAACATTCTGTGAGTAAAGATAGCAAATTAAATTTACTACCTAAAGTTATCAGTTTGCCATCTAAAGATTTATTAACTGAAGAGATTGGAATTTTGAAAAAAAGGTTTAAAATTTGGCCCTACACCTAAAGCAGATATCAAAGATTTCGAAACGATATTCCACAATTTTGTTGTAAATTAAGATCAGTAGAAAAACACAGTGGTACACAGGACAATGATGACCCACCATCAGTAAATATAAGTCGAAATGGAATCCGCCAAAATGTGCTGACAATTTTTTGGAGAAATCAATATCAGATCTAAAAACGTATCCATTAAGTAAGAATAAGATTAAAAATGTTTTATCATATAAGCAACGTAAAGCTTTGGAAAAAGTAACGAGTGTTGTGATAAAGGAGGCAGACAAGGGCGGTATGGTTGTAGTTATCGATGCGCAGTATTATTGTGATAAGATTATAGAAATGTTATCAGATAATGAATTATATAAAGAAATTCCCTCTGACACAGATGCAGAGACTATGAATAATATTACGAATCTTGTGAAAAAGCATAGAGAACATTTTGAAGATAAGGAAATAGAATATCATATAGACTTTTTATATCGCTCAAGCTATTTGTATGGTCTTCCAAAGATACATAAAACTAAATTAATTTCAAAAGCAATCAAAGAGCAAGGTTCTGAATACATTTAGGGTATATTGAACTGAGGTACAGAGGCAACGCCTTCCAGTCCCCTTATTACCTAATGTCATTTTATAAATGGACGTTTTATTTTAATGATCATTTTTACCAACAGTGTAAAGGTACTGCAATGGGTACAACTGATTTGAAACATTATCTGAAAAGCAAACGTTATCCTGCTGAAATGGTACTAAACGTCATACAAAGAGCTAAAGAGAAAGGCCCTGTCAGTGTTAATTTAGAAAGGGCTAACACCAAAGATGCTGATATCATACCATTTGTTACTACTTACAATGCATATAATTGTAATATGTTTACTGTCGTTAAACATTTTTGTAAATTTTATGAAAAACAGAGAGAACATGAAGTGTATTTTTGATAAGAAGATTATAAACTGTAAAAGGCAACCTAAACACTTGAAACGTTTACTATGTACATCCAAATTTGATATGAATACCACAAATGTTGTCAATGGTGTAAAGAAAATGTAAGAAATCAAGGTGTGGTACATGTTAGGTTTTCATTAAATGTAAAAACTACGTTTTTGCAAATGGTTCCAAAATAATAATTAGATAGGACATTAACTGTAATTCTAAGAATGTTATTTACTCTTTAATAATTATGTAAACAATGTGGTGAATTTTATATCGATCAGACCGGATGTGAATCGAGTACGAATACAACAAATGAAGGACAATGAAACTTTTAAAAGTTAGCAAACATGTGCATCAATGTTCTAAAGATGATTTAATGTGTTACCTATTTACAAACTGAACAGCGACGATGTAGTTGCAAGATAATTTATAGAAAAAATGTTTATAACGGTCCTCAAACCCAGCTTGAATGCACAGTGATTTTTGCAATGTATTGTATGTAGATATTGTCTTTGTCTGGGTATTGTGACGTCACTATGCTTGTTTATTGATGACGATACTAAAATTGTTGACTATACAAATATTGATGACGTCATATAACCAACGGTGATAAATAAACATCAATCCATCTGATGAAGCCCTAAAAGGCAGAAAGGCCTAGAGGACGATCTGAAATATTTTATGTTTTCATTCTATATATATATATACAACAGGGTCAATTTTATTGTCATATATAGTAAATGTTATAAGTGTGTACAAATGTCCATGTGTATGTGCCCAGGGTGTTTTGTGTATGTGTTTGTCCATTTGTTGGCGTTAAATGTTACAGGGTGAGGTGTTCTATGTATTTTGTGTAATGAGTTGGTATTTTAGGTGTAGCAGTTTACGCCGAGTGATTTAAGTCCAAAGTCCATGTTCTTGTCTTGGTTTTTATTGGTCGCTTTTTTATAATCCCTTGTTGGTAAGTCTTGGCGGGAATATCGATGATAAGTCAGTTAGACTCCTGCCTGCCAAGCTGATCCCAAGCTCTTTCTTCTTGACTTGAACATATTCCAGACAGTTACAAAGTAAGTTTCTATTTGTTCTGTAAATTATTTCTTGTGTAATAATATTTTTCATTAATATATAAAGTAACTTCAAAAAGTCATAATGTTGAAGTATTTAGTAATTTTATTTATATTTTCAAAATTACAGCCATAGAGTTAGAAGTATATGTCTTATAAAATGGTGCAAGTTCAGTTTGAAAGTTGTCTATTTTGATATATCTATGTATTTTCAAATGATCAAAGTAGTAAGGTATTGTTTGTATTATTTTAGAATTATTCGAACTGGTACAGAGGTGGCAGAAATAGAAGCATCTAGGATGGCTCTGTGCCATACACAGGTATTTGCCTGATTTCATGTTTAAATTGTTTAGTGCTAATGTTATATAATTATTGATAGGATGGTATTTCCATGTTGATATATATATAATAGATTGTAGATATTTTCTATAGTTCTGATTCTTATCAATTTAACTGTAACGTTATAATAATTTGAAAGAAGTTATTATTGGATTAAGATCTATAAAATTGTAAATCTTAACGATTCTATCTCATTAAATATGTTTTGATTATTTAGTAATTTCCTTTGAAAAGGACTTATCGATGTACATCCTAATAGTGAGTTGTGTCCCTTGATTATACGTGCGTGTAATTTACACTGTTCTCTCCACTCAGTGTTTAGTATATTCTTTTATGTTTATTTCAGAGTGTCTACAATATCCTATATGCTATCTATGCTACCTGCTCTGTGAATCTGTACATTTTGTTTGTTTGTTTGATTTTGTTTAACGTCCTATTAACAGCTAAGGTCATTTAAGGACGGCCTCCCCTGGGTGCAAGATGCATGCATGTAGTGTATGTGTGTGTATATTGGGAGGCTGCGATATGTTCGTGTTTGTCTCCTTGTGATAGCGCGAAACTGATGCCGACTTTATAGTGCTACCTCACTGAAACATTCTGCCGAAGACACCCAGCAGGACGCCCCACCCGGTCACATTATACTGACAACGGGCGAACCAGTCGTCCCACTCCTAATTTGCTGAGCGTTAAGCAGGAGTATAAACTACCATTTTTAAAGACTTTGGTATGTCTCGGCCAGGGGACAGAACCCAAAGCCTTCCTCACAGGGGCGAACGCTCAACAAATGGCCAAAAGTGAGGCATTGTCAAGGGAGACATTAGGAAGAAGAAAGTTATTTAGAAAGGAGAGAAGAGATAAGGTCCCAAATTTAGTCGCCTCTTACGATCATGCAATTGGGGGCAGCAGGTACAATTCTTACGCTCTACCTGCAGGGTATGAATCAAATCTGTTGAGGAATAAAGAACTCATCATAAACAGCACCGGTGTTCTCATCTTATCCATATGGAACGCAACGGTTACATATATAATAAAAAAAACATTATGTATCACTCTTGTTGACTCGGATATTAGCGCGCAGGGGGAAGAACCTGTTAAAATAACTGTATTCTTAATAATAAATAAATGCCTAGACACACATAATAATATCCACACTTACTGGTTTTAGTATTCTTCCATTTTATTGAATTTATACAATTGATTATATTTTCTGCATATATATTTTGTACGTATATAGGTGTAACCTATAGCCTAACAATAGTCAGTGATGCATGCTTGTGTAGCAGTTTAATAATCATACTGCATCTATGTCGTATATTAATTTCATTTATTTTCATCATTGATCAATTTCAATCTATCAAAAATAAGTGGTTGTAACCCAGGTAAACACTTTTTAACTTTTCATCATAAAATCATAATTAAAGAAATAATACCAACTGTAAGTATTACCACAGCGTTAAACTGTATATAAAGATTCAGCTTCATAAACTAATCAATAATAAATATATTATGCTGAAATATAATTATAAGGTATGGTGGATGATATATTCATCTATCGGATATTGACCTAATTCATCTCCTGACGCAAAACTACCTCCTTTCTTCAGATTGCCAGAGGAAAGTGAGCTAATTTAAATGCACTTGTTTAAACGGTGTCTTGTCAATACAGGAAAATAATAACTTTAAACGATTTTTGTTCCTGTTAGCTCGTTTTGACATTCAATAACTTGTTTCATATTATATATTAAGGTTATGTATAGTTTGTATCTATCTATATATATATCAGTATATATTTCCTAATACCTACATATAGCATCCATATATTTAAGTCTCAGGTTATTTCCGAGTATCTAAATATAACATCGATATATTTAAGTCTCAGGTTATTTCCCAGTATCTTAATATAACATTGTGCTTTACACTTTCTTCCAGTGAGCATGCAGGAAAACCAATAAGCTTGAAATGTAGGATTTTACTCACTGTTATTTAATTATAAATTTTGTAATTATAAGAAACGTGATCATTCTGGACAAGATACACACGGCATATCTGTACTTGATATGACAATGACAAATGGATATTGCGATACCACATCCTAAGTAAAGCGAATGGTTTTAATATTAGAGAATTTAACGTCCTATTAACAGTTCAGGTCATTTAAGGACGTGCCTTAATGTGTAATGTATGCGTGTATGTGTGCTTGAGGCAGGGTGTGTTGGTATAATTGCCGCCTTGTGATAGTGCGGATCTGGTGCTGACCTTTTAGTGCAAGACTAGTAAGCCATTTTAATTAACGCAAGTACACTATTTTTATGTAATCAATGAGAATAAATACAAACTTACTATACAGTTAGCTAATGGGAAAGTTGATTTTAAATCGGCAAATCAGACAGGAAGAGTTGGTGGGTGGGTGGGTGGGGGGTGGGGGGGGCG